GAGGGTTCCACCCCCCGCTTAGCCACTGGAGCAATGTCCCACAGCAGGGCCGACATCTAAAAGTTCGATTTTGTGTTCCGCGGCTCTATCACTTGCCAGAATCGGCCGATGGAGGCCCCCTCGCCTACCGTCTATCCTCCTGAATATCGCCTCTGATTCACTTCTCTGCACATCCTACCTTCCAGAAAATGGTCGCTTTTCTGTTCAGAGAGTTGCTGCTATTCTTTTCTTCGATCTCCTGTTGAGTTCGTAGGTGTTCAGAATGGTTTGATCCCTATCCAGCTGAATTCCTGGGACCAGACGAAGTTTAGGTCTCCTACTCCTCCGCTATCTCGCTCCTCCACCTCAGTTTCATAAATATTGGACTATTCCATTTAGATTAATTTTGACCCATGGATTTGAAAAGGGAGTTAACTAACCATTATGTGTTTTATGTGACTGTATTGATATAATTAGATGGGTGGCTAGTCAGACTCTGTAAGTATGAATACTAGTGGATAGGGCTATCATGGGGCCTGCACATTTGTACATCTGTTGATACAGTTTTCAATTGCTTTGAATAGTTTAGCCAACTTACACTTCAGCTGTTAATAAACATATTCAGCCATTTAACAGCAACTTTGCCAGCATTTTATTTTACCGTTCTTTAAAAATATAACATGTTCTTTGCTAAGAAACATCCAGATTAACCTTAATTTGCCTCTCCTAGGTGACAAGTGAGGCTGGACATTATTTATATTTTCTGGACATGTTCTTTGCTCACAGACTGAGAGATAATTTATTGCATTTATTGACCCCCGCAGGACAAAGGAAGAGATGTTTCTGAACCTGGGGCCTGACTGGTTCCTGCTCCTTGTGCAGGGCCATGTGCATCCCAGCACCACTGTGTTGGGGTTGAAACTGCTGCTGCACTTTTTGGCAAGCCCCTCCCTCCGCGGGAAATTTAAAGATGGCCTGTGTGCAGGATCCTGGGTGGAGCGCAGCTCAGAGGGCATGGACATTGTGATAGGTGAGTGTGAGGCCTTTTCCAGGAGGTGGGGCGCCACCTCATCCTGGGCTGTGAGTGAGGACCTGCCAGGCTCCTTCCTGCTTGGGGCCTTCACAGCTCTTGCAGTAGGATCACCTTGACCCCTGACCCTGATCAGCCCCAGTCCCCTCCTACTTCCTGGACAGGATCCTCTTTTGTCCTCACTGCTTTCCAGATGCTGGGAGCTTCCTTCCATTCCTCAAAATCTCCTGAGCTCTTTTCATCTTCCTGAAATGTTTCCCCCAACCCACAACACCAGCAAGGCTCTCCTGGCTGGTGTGGGTTCATCTCTCAGGTCTCAGTTCAAATGCCATTTCCTCCAGGAGAGAAGGGTCCCACCTGAATTAGGGTGCCTCTGTTATACTCTCTTTGCCCCAATTACTTTTCTTTATGGTGCTTGTCACAATTCACAAGCATATATTTATTTTGGTATTTAATTCCTTAATGTCCCTCCCTCCCACTACATTCTAAGTACTTGGTGAGGGTCTGGGGTTCTGTATATTTTGTTGAAATGCTATGTCCCTATTGCTTAGTATAAAGTTGCCCTAGTTCCTCTAAGGTGGTAGGCACGAAGTAAGTATCTGTTTTTGAATAAACGAATGAAGGAATGAATGAGTATGTCAGGAATAGGAAAAGGAACTCTTGTTGAATACTTTCTTATGCCATGTATGTATGACATATATTTCTATCTGGCATTTCTATGGGATGGGTAGGTGGCAGGGAATTCCTTTGTGTGCCCAATCCCCACATTGACCAGAAGCAATAGCAATTGTTCTCAGTTGGATTTTGTGCCCCTTCCACCTGATCAATAGATAACCTGAAGAGCCAGCCCCCTACGCCTGACCAGAGCCCCTGCCTGCTTCCTGGATTCCGCGTCTTGAAGGACTTTCTGGGCCACCATGTGCATATTCCAGAAGTCTACCTCATTGTGTCCACCTTCTTCCTGCAGACGCCACTTACAGAGCTGATGGATAGACCCAAAGTATGTTCTTGGGGTGCCCCTGGGAGGGAGTGACACCCCTGGTTTTCTGATCCCATGTGACCAAGACGGTTCCCTAAGATTCTCCATCCCTACCTCCATCCATTCCTCCAACTCGTGTTGTGTTCTGACCCACTTCCTTCCCTCGCAGTGCCACCCCCTTGGCTAGCCCTTCAGATCCCCTGAGCTCCTGGGCCTCTGCCTCTCATCCTCCCTGCCAGCAGGTCTGTGTTTTAAGTCTTTCTCCTTCTGGGCATGGCTAGAGAAGTCACATGATGATGGGGGTGGCACGGGGAGGCGAATTGCTGCCACCACAGAATTAGATCCTCAGTTTATGCCTTCTGAAAAAGCATGTCTCTTTACCTTAGCCATGCCCCTCAATTCCCCTACATTTTAGTGTAAACCATATATCCTCTCAAGCTTTCTGCCCCAAAGCTGCCCTTTGCTCAGATGACTTACCTCACCTTGGGAGTGGAGGACCCCAGAGGGGGGCATTGCCTTGGCACCCCACTTTCCACCACCTGTTTATGCCATGACCCTCTTCCTCACCCTCTTTCTATTGCCACTGGCAAAGGGTAGCTCTTCCAGGCTGCTCCAGGCTTCTTTCCTGAGTGACCTCACCAGTGGTTGGGCCTTCTTTCTCCTGTATTTCAGCACCTCCTTTTCTATGGACTCTTTCCTCATAGACCATATGTACAATGAACTGTGTCCCACCTAAAACCAGAAGCTGCCCCCTTGACTCACACTCTTGACCAACTGCTGTCTTATTTATCATCCTCCTGTCCTTCTTTAGCCAAATTTCTCCAAAGAAGAGCCTACACTCTCTACGTATACCTTCTCACCATACACCCACTCACTCATTCATTTGCACCACATCTGAGGCTTCATGATCCCCCCTGTGGGATTGGGTTCAGACTCCATAGCCGGCATCAAGACTCTTTGTGATTGGGTGCCTGACCAGCTTCTTTGCTTGCCTGCCCTTTGTGCTGTGAACCTCCTGAGTCACCTCTCCAATAAGACCAGCTGCTTTGTGCTTACCTCCCCTGTGCCTTTAAAGAGCTCTTACTCCCATGTCACCTGCCTGGTGAGGGGGTCATCCCTCAGCACTCAGCTCAGATTCCACCTCCTGCTTAGATCTCTAGACAGGGGGACTCATTCCCTTCTGTGTGCCTTAGCACACCTTCCCCTTATATGGCCCTGACACAGTTACATGATTTCCTCTCTCCTTAGCCCCTGAGCTCCTCAAGAACAGACCCTACTTCTTACCTTCCTGGGTGCCTGAAAAATAGCAGATTCAGAAATTGTTTCTCAGTCTCAATTGAGTTGAGTTAAATTGCACTGAGTTGAAATTGGGGGAGGGGCATGACTCTGTAAATAGAAGCCTAGAAAATCTACCTGTCTTGCACATCCTTATATTTGACCTATCTAAATCTTGATATATGCTAATAATATTAGAGATCACACTTCAAAATAAAGTTCTTAATATGCTGTGCTAGGTTCACTGAAACACTGTATTTCTATTTCTCCAAAAATGTATCATAGGGAACAAACATCTGCTGAATGTCAGGACCTGTGATAGATGTTTTACATATTTTATTTTGCTTGATATTTATAACCATCCCATGGGGTAGAGAATGTAATTTTCATTTTACAGAGAAGGAAACTGAGAGGCTGAATAGCTTGCATAAGCCCAGCTTTTCAAGAGGCAAAGTCAGATCGCCCCGCTGGTCAACCCCCATGTTCCCTCTGCTACACTTGGCACTTTCCCCAAAGCCTTTGAATTCCTCATATGTCCTCTGTAATCTCATTTACAAAAATTCATTGAAGTTGATTGTGATCTCAAACCAAATGAAATAACTAAATTTGATGCAAATTGCTGGTCGGTCTGCAGCATCTCCTTGGAGGTGTGTATTTCCCTTATGCACCACTGAGGGGGCTGAAGTTCTCCACATGGGCTAGCCACCTAGGCTGTTACTGTGCTGTTTTGCCTTTCCCACTCAGGCCCCCTGGGAAACATGATGTGCTGGCTGCAAAGCCAGTCCCCTTGGTGTGCCTCCGTATGTCTCTCTACAGCCCTTACCCCCTCTTTCAGGAGAGCCTGGATGCCATGCTCCAGTGGCTCCTGCAGAAGCACCACAATGAAGAAGTCCTCCGGGCTGGGTTGTGCACTGAAGGTGCCCTGCTGCTTCTGGAAATGCTGAAAGCCACCATGAACCAGGTGAGGCCCATTCCCCACATCTCATGAGGAGGTTCTGATGGGAAGACAAGTTTGGAAGAGTCACCTTGACTTTTTCCAGCAACTTCCCTTGCTGATAATTAGCAAGTGTTATTCAGAATTCTTGATAGAAAAGGCAGGGTGGGTTCCTTGTGATAACTTGGGTGCTCAGTGGAAAACCCAGCCTAAGTGTCCCCAGTGGAGTTTATGCACTCTTGCCAGAAGAAATCTATTTCCCGTTTGTTTACATATTTGAGTTTTTTCACTGGGAGATTTAATACCTTCAGTCAGAGGAACATTTCTGAGCAACTGCTTTAGGTCAGGAGCTTCAGGGGTGGGTAAGGGGTGGAACGGGACCTCTTCCCTCAAAGAGTTAACTTCCACCGTGACAGGTGGGCCTCACACATGAGCGAGCTGTGAGGTAGAAAGGTTGGAGAAGACAGATGCCCACCAACTACATACATGTCATGGAGAGCCATTAACTCAGGCCTTCAGGGTCCACTAGAGATAGGTGAAGAGGTCATTTTTGACATGAAGGCAAGTGTGAGGGGGTGAAGGCCTTGTGGCCTGTGAATGGGAGTAATTGTGAGCCAGAGCAACAAGAATTTGCATGGAGGCTGAAAACTTCTGACTTCATTCTGTAGACCCCAAACGTTGACTGGAGGCTTGATTCTGTGTGGGGAAACCTTATTGCTTCTGTAAAATGATGCATGCTTACCCTTTACAATTTAAACAAAAGAGAAAAATAGAAAGTAAAAATCACCTGAAACACACCCATGCAGAGATAACCACTGTGAACTTTAGTGGAATGTTCCTCCAGACACCTAAAATTATACCATAGTCTTACAGAGGGTTAAGCCGCATAAACCCCTCTTGCCTCTTTTTCTCATCATGTTGTTGGGAATTATCTATATTTGTACATGGAAATTTGTTGTTTTTAAGAATGTTCATTGCTACAAAAAGTCTGTAATAAACTTTCTCTAGCAGATATCCTTTCTCTGTAGTTTGATATTCTTCTTAGTGTGAATTCTGGGATGTAGGATAGTGGGTCAAAGTGTCCTTCATGTATTTTCTTTTGGACCCACTTCTCAGGAAGGTTGCCTTAGACATTATACATGCATGTTCCTCCATCTAATGTACATCCCGCCATCTTGTATAGGAGTGCCCAGCCCAGTCCTCACAGCCCCAGCTGTTGGGTCTTGGCTTTTGATCCAGTTTAAGAGTCACATCTGTAATATACCAGATAATGATTTTATGTTTGACATTATAATGTAAATGATTGGTCTTTTTTTTTTTTTACTCCTCTCAGCATACTATAGATTTTCTTTATTTTACATGCTTTCATGTTACTCATTTTGTTTGCTTTTTAAAAATAACATTAACTGGTTAGAAAGGTAACAAACTCTTAATGCTGCAAACAGCAAATATGCATTTTTTCAGGCACCCAACCTCAAAATTCATTGAACATTAGGTCTATAATGGAACCATGAGTAAATTTTCCAAAGGAGGAAAATGTACTGTTCACATGCTCTGACTAGGACAAAACAAAATGAAATGGATAACAACAATAAAAAACAAAAAGTTTAACCACATGGACATTAAAAAATTTGAGTCAAGAGGTCTTTAAAAACTGCAATCACATTAATTCTAGAAAACAACAACAAAAAAATGAAGATGCCAAATATCAAAATCTTAAAACTAGACAGAAAAAAAATCTGGAGAATATATCCAAAGTTGGTTCTTTAAATCAATCCACAAGTCCTCAGCTCCTTAGGTAATGGGAGGGTTTGGGATAAAGAGAGCATGACCCTACAAATAAAGAATAAGAAGAGAGAAATAATCATATAGAAAAGTAAATGAATTAAAAGAGACTATTTGTGAAAACTGAATAAAATATCTATTACATAAACAAGGTCAAAGAGACATTTAAGAGCCTAAACAGAGCAATAATGAAAAAAAAATTGGGACCCAAGAGTTTCATAGGAACAACTTAAACAATACAAGAATTATGGATTTAACATCTTCTTGAATAAAAAGAAAGGAGAACAGTTTTTTTTTCAGTAAAGCTAGCATAATATTTATATCAAAACCTGACAAACATAACAAAAAGAAAACTGCAGCCCACTATCATTTATAAATATGCACTCAAAATCATAAATAAAATATTTACAAACAGAATAAGGACGTGCACTGAAAGAATAACAGAGTGACTCAGTGATCTCTTTGCAAAAATGCAAAAAATCTATTGATGCAATTCGTCATAGGTAAGTGGCTAAAAGAAAAAAGCATATCATCACCTAATTACATGCTAAAAGAGTATATAATAAAAATGAAATACATTCTTGTTTTTAAAAGGAGCAAAAAGTGTGATCTGTACTTTCTTAGCATAATACACACACACACACACACACACATTATAGCCAGATTGCCTGGGTTCAATTCCTGGCTTTGTCCCTTATCTGTCGGGTAACCTTTGGCAAGCTATATAACCTCTCTGCGCGCCTCTGTCTTCCCATCTGTGAAACAGGGGTAAATGTAGAGGGTGGTTGTGAGGGGAGAAGAGGAATGTGTGTGAAGCCCTTGTAACAATTCCTGCACATATTAAACCCTTCCCCAACTGATGACCAGTATCCTGGGCTAATCCATAGACTTAGGTGTCTGCAATTAGGTGTCTTGTTGACCGAAAGTCAGAAAGCTCTTGACTTCAAATCCTTTGGCTCCTCTGCAGCCCCCAGTCACGTTCCCATGCACGGCCTCTCAGGAAGTGTGCCTTCAGCCCTCAGGAGGCTCTGGAGATGACACCTGGGAACGGACTTTCCCGGCCAGCGTGCTGCAGTTCCTTGGCCTTGTGCACAGCACCTACCCCCAGGATCCTGCCTGGCGGGCCCCGGAGTTCCTCCAGACGTTGGCTGCAGTCACCTTCCCTCTGGGAACCCACAAGGTAGGACATGTCACTGCTCTGCCCACTGAGAGCAGGGGTGAGCATCATCATGCTTCAAGGGCAAAGGGTGAAATTCCACCCCCAATTTTTTTTATTATTATTATTTTTTTATTCTTATGTTAATCCCCATACATTACATCATTAGTTTTAGATGAAGTGTTCCATGATTCATTGTTTGTGCATAACACCCAGTGCTCCATGCAGAATGTGCCCTCCTCAATACCCACCACCAGGTTAACCCATCCTCCCACCCCCCTCCCCTCTAGAACCCTCAGTTTGTTTTTCAGAGTCCATCGTCTCTCATGGTTCGTCTACCCCTCCGATTTCCCCCCCTTCATTCTTCCCCTCCCGCTACCTTCTTCTTCTTCTTTTTTTCTTTTCTTAACATATATTGCATTATTTGTTTCAGAGGTACAGATCTGAGATTCAACAGTCTTGCACAATTCACAGCGCTCACCAGAGCACATACCCTCCCCAGTGTCTATCACCCAGTCACCCCATCCCTCCCACCCCACCCCCCACTCCAACAACACTCAGTTTGTTTCCTGCGATTAAGAATTCCTCATATCAGTGAGATCATATGATACATGTCTTTCTCTGATTGACTTATTTCGCTCAGCATAATACCCTCCAGTTCCATCCACGTTGTTGCAAATGGCAAGATCTCATTCCTTTTGATGGCTGCATAATATTGCATTGTATATATATACCACATCTTCTTTATCCATTCATCTGTTGATGGACATCTTGGCTCTTTCCACAGTTTGGCTATTGAATTCCACCCCAAATTTAAATGCATTTTAAGGCAGCCTGGCTGAAACATTAAGTAAACAACTTGGGTAATTTTCCTTTTCTTGGCTGAGATGCAGCTTGCGGTCACTTTCATCTCTGAGATGCAGTAATTTTTTGAGTTGTCAGGAATCTCAGTAATGAGAAATTTGGTGGCAGACCAAGTCCAGTTCTATATGGAATACTCACACACTGCTAACATGAACCCACAAATTCCATCCCAGGAAGCCAGTGGCCCACGTACCAGACAGGAGACAGGGAACAGGAAGTGTCCTGTCTTTGGGTCTCACGCCCCTCATCCTGTTTGCAGGCCATGACTTGGGACTCCTTGCAGTCAGAGGGTTTGCTGAGGCCCAGCTTAGAGCCAGACAAGCCGAGGTTGGGAGGGCAGAGGGCCGACTGGGTCCTGAGGACATGGTGTGAGTGTGGGCCATGGGAAGAGAGGCCCAACAGGCCAAGGGAGCTCAGTGGGCTGGGAGCATGCGGCAGCTGAGAGGAGCAGGTAAGGACGGTGGGAAGGGCAGGTGCAGGAAAGGAAGGGCAGACATCCCCTCATCACCCCTACCATGGTGCAGTAGGAAGCTGAGACCCCAACAGGGAGGGTGAACCAGTGACGCGTGTCTGCAAATCCATAACTATAGCTAAAGGAACATGTTAGAAGGCACGCAATGCTAAGTGGAAGGTTTAGAAGCCGTGCCAAGCACAGTGTGTGGGCATGCAGTATTTGCTCCAGAATTCTTTGCTAAACAACGAAATGAATAGAACCAAGATGTTCATTCAGCTACTCTTTTCTAGAAGTGTGTTTATGGTGACAGCTGCCATCTACTGAACACCTACCGCAGTCCTGAGCCTGGTGCTTTACCTAACCCTAGTAGCACCCTAGGAAGGTGGTTTCTGTAAGGGGGAAAGTGAGATCCAGAGAGGCCAAGTGGGGCTGAGCAGTTTCTCCTGAGGTTAGTGAAGACCCATCTCACAAAATGTTTGAGAGAATGAAATAAGCCAGAATGTACGTGATTCATGAGTGACAGAGCCAAGATTGAAACCTCACTCCCTCACCCCAAGGCCTGCGTCCTTTCCATCAGTCAGTTTAAACTAAAATTAAATGGCCAAATAAAATTCAAGTAATTAGTTTTAATGAAAAAACTAAATATAAAGACTAGAAGATTTGCAAAAAGATAAAATGGTTTGGTGGGTTAATATGAACTAAAGGAACATACTGGAAAAGTAGGCATTAAAAAAAAAAAGATGCAGTAAAGAGCAAAAGAGGTCACTGTGGGCAGCACTGGAGGGGTGGTGGATGGGACAGAGTCCAGGTGCCCCCGGGCCCGTCAGGAAGGAAGGACAATCCTGCAGGCTGCCCCTCATCATCTCCCAAATGAGGGCCTCTGGAGGGGCCAGGACCCTGAAGTCTGTGGCCTGACATCCTTAGTCCAGATCACCACCTTAGCTCCTACACCCGCAGGCCAGGCTCTCCATCTGCTGAGCCGGGGTTCCAGCCGGCTGCCTGCCTGCAGCCCACACTCTGACCCAGGGCTCTTCCTCCTCACACTCAACAGTTCCTGCCTGGGGGCAGGCCTGGCTCAAAGTCACCTCCCCAGCGACCGCAGAGGAGCCAGACCCTGTCTTGGGACTCCTGGCCCCAGTTTCAAAGCGCTTCTCCCCACACCTCCTAGCCTTGTCCCGGCTCCGAGTCAGCTTCAAGAGGACTTTGTTGCACAGAAACTGCGACAGGCCCTCCTCATGCAGAAGGCTGCTGGCCAAAAGGCTTCGATTTGCTGTAAATATAAATGGCATCTTTCCAGTCCAGGCCGTATGGAGCTAATTAATGCAGTCACCACCTCCCTAGGTGCCATTAAATTCATTTTATGGCTTAATTAAGAGTGGCTGCATTAATTTTATGAATGAGCAAAGGGAGGTGCCGACAGATGAATGTGCATGAAAAGTTCATGGGCCGGGAGTCAGGAGCCGCATGTCCTCGGGTGTGTCATTCGGTCTCCCAACAACCCCGTGCCCACCTGGAATCTGGGCTCACAGCCCCTGCCTTATTGAGCTCATCTTTATAAACATAAAAATGAGAAAGTGAAGGCCAAGGTGCTTCAGGGACTTGGATGCCTGGACTTGAGGAAGTCCTCCTTGTCTTGCCGGACAGTCCTGTCTGTCAACATCAGCAGGGCCTGGCGGGCAGTAAAGATGAGGGCTCCACCAGGAGGTGGGGACAGGCTCTCTTGAACACAGCCCATGGGGCCAGGCATTGCCATGCTCACTGTTCCCTCACTGTGGCCTCACATGTCTTTGTGAGCCTTTTCATGGTTGTCATTTGACTGATCGTGAGCTCACACCCTGGGCTTCATCACTGACTATTGCAGGCCTCTCTTGCTCCATGCTCAGCTTCTTTCCATGGCTCCCACCTACCTCGTGTTCAGAGACCACAGCAGGCCCCCTGATGAGCATTGGGACTCTGGAAAAGCCACCTTCCTCCTCAGAGCCTCGAATTCCCTTACATGTTGGTGGGTTTGATAAGAACCCCATCTGTGCACACCTCAGAGGTGGACACGAGAGCACCCTGAGGCAGGGCAGGCCACTCATGGGGGGGATTCTCTTGTCTTTGAGGAGCCCATGACTCAGCTTGCCCAGAATGCCAGCAGCCCTGGGACTAAAGCCGAAGGCAACAGCATCACAGAGGGTCTACAGGCTCCTGTCCAGTCACATCCCACCCGGAAGCAGCTGAGGGAGTTCATGCAGCTACTCTTGAGGGAGTTCTTGCTGGTGGCCTCCAACCCCAAACAGTGGCTGCCTCTGGAAATGCTCCTGGAGGTGAGTTGGAAAGGGTGTTTTGGGGCTGTGTGCTGTGGGAGCAGGTCTGGGAGGACATGGGCACCACCAGGGCAGGGAATGCCCAGGGAGACCCAGGATCTTTTTGGAGAGCTCACCTAGGCCTGCAGATGCCGGCCGGCTGGGGGTTGAGAACATCTCCTGAGAGTACAGTGATGTGGTAGGAATTTCAGACCCTTGCATGGCAGGGAGCTCACCAAGCAGCATGTGGATAGATGCATGAGGGCAGGGCTTAGTCAGGTCCCTAGAAGCAGAGCCTGAAGCAGGGATTTTGTGGAAGTGATCTGGGGGCTGTGCTCTCAGGAGAAGCAGAGAAAGGCAGCAGAGGGGGACAGGGGAAAAGCAAGCTAAGAAATGGTCTCCGCCATAGCCTGGTCCCAAGGGGAACACTTGGTGTGCTATCTGCCTGCCCGACTTGGCCCCACCTTGAGGTACTTGCCCAGTGGTCATTGCCTGTGGGTCCTCCACAACTTGCCTCCTCCACCCAGGAAGTGGGTGTCACCTCTCAAGTGAGGGAACTTCGTCAGCAGAGGGCAATGCCCTGGAGAACGGGCAGTTGTGAGCTGTGGGCAGCCCACACTCCCAGCAGCTGTGGTATTAGCATACGGGCCACACAGGAAGGCTTGATGGGCACGAAGTGGACGTGATGGCTGTGTGGCCACTCTCTTCGTCCCCGGTGTGATTCCAGGCTTCTCCAGACAATGCCACCAGCCAACAGAAGCGAGACTTCCAGTCCGAGGTCCTGCTTTCCACCATGGAAATATTTCACACGCTAAGTGGAGGCAACGTGCCCATGCTTAGAGGTGAGTGGGGGTGACTTTCCTCCTTTATGACACAGAGCTTCCAGCAGCTGATCAGGAAAAACAGCCCCTGGCTCATAGTGGTGCAGGGCCATGGAAGCCACCCTCCACCTGCACATCAGTCCTTCCATGAATCCACCACGAGAGCTCACCGACCCTGCTTAGAGGCTCCAGGGGAGGCATGTGTGCCCCTCTCCATGACAGCCCTGCCATCACTGGGCCACTCAGACACAGAGAGCCTCTGAGCTCAAATCCGTTCTCCTCTGGCTTCAGTAGGATCGGCCTCTTCCCTTGAGGGAAGCCAAGATGGCAGCTGGAATTTAACATTCTTCTGCTCAGCATCTTGTTCTCTGCACCCAAGACTGGCCACAGCAAGTGTTTTTTCAACAGACGGACCTGGATGAAGACGCTGCCATTGCCCCTAAGAAGTTGAGATTGAAGCTGCCTTCAGAATACTTAGGTCCAGGGAGGCTTACCTTCCCCACAGGATTACAATAAAGTCCTCTCTGTGGTTTCTGAGCCACAGAATCGTTAGTGACATGGCTCATCTTCCAGACTCTTCCTTGCCCCACAGTGTGGCAACCCTGAGTTTTGGTCTTTCTTGGGAAGCATCTGCAGGGCAGTAAGGTAGCGTGGTGAAAAGCATAGCTGGTAGTCCCAGTTCTGCTCTTGGCTCTGTCACTAGACAGCGGTGTGGCTCGGGGCAGGCGCCTGAAGCCGTGAGTAAGGATGGCAACTGTGGCTAACTCAGAGGGTTGTTACAAGGATTAGCTGAGAGCATCACATCCGCCTCTGAGCACAGTGCCTGCCGTGGTGGTGAGCACAGACAGATCAACGTTACAGCGTCATCCTCTGCTCCCTGTAGCAACAGGGCCTTGGGTCACCATGACAGCCTTCCCAATTACCTTATGCCTTAAATTCTCCTCCATCCCCCTTCCAAATGCCTCCTTGGAAGAAATGCTGCCCCTGGTGTGCCTTCTCCCCACTTAGTTTATGTCACTGACAAAATTGTTCAAGACCAGTTTACTTTGAAAAAAGTGTATTCATTGGGCACCTACTGTGTATAAGAACCCATTTTCCAGCAGCAGAGCCTGCAGAAGGTTACATCGGGGTATACAGAGGTGAGTAAGTTGTGGTTGGTTACCGTGAGGGGCTTGGAGACTGTTGTGGAGAGAAGGCTATTTGGACTCTGATGATTTCTCAGACGTGGTCTGTGCCCTCACCCACCCCCAGGCAGTAAAGAGCCTCAGCCAAATGCAGAAGCTGCTGCTCCTTCACTCGCAAACATCTCCCACTTCACCCAGAAGCTGGTGGAGAAACTGTACAGTGGGATGTTCTCGGCAGACCCCAGACACATTCTTCTCTTCATCACAGACCACATCGTGGTGGTAAGAACTCTGGGCTGGCCATGGGGGTTGGGGGAGGGTGGGCAGAAAACTCCTGCGGACCCACCAAGTGTCTGTATGATTCACTGTTGGCTGCTGTCTAGGTGGTCCAGTTGGAGCCGCTGTCCTTCCTGGAAATAGGTTCTGAGAGGGGTGGGAGGAAGGAAGAGGACCTGTATGGCCCAGGCGGTACCTGGCGGGTGTTGAGTGCACTTCAGGGCTCTTAGCTCAGGCTCCTTGAGATCCATCTCAGTGAGTGCGAGCAGCAACCCCCTGGGCTGGCAGCTGAGCTGTGTCCCCTCCTAGACTCTACACCCCCACTTTGGGTTTTTATTGTGATTGTTGGTTTAATCTTAGTTATTATTATTCGTCATCAACAAAGGGCCAAAAATCTCCTTATCTCCAAAAGGCCTATTTAATTTCATTCTTAATATGCACCTCCATGGGTCATATTTGGGCCTTCCTGAAATTTTCATGAGTATTTTTTCCTAGTCCGATTATTCCTGCATGTGCTGTCCTTCTCTCCCCAGATCAATCTACATACACACCCACACAAGCAAATGCACGCCTATAGATACACCTTCAGATGTAAGTGTGTGTATACATGTGTGCACATTTTTTATTGTACATGTGTACACACACATACACAGAATCACACAATCTCAAAATTCTGGACGGGAACCCTTTACTTTGTCCTCATCTTCTATTGTAGAGACTTTTCCTGACATGTGGCCATTCATTCTTGCCTTGACCCTCCCTGTGTGAGGAGCTCATGCTGGTGTGAGGCGGTCCCAGCCAGTGGGGCATCTGTGATTGCTGGAAAGCTGAACTCTGCCTCCAGAAACTCCTGCCAGTGGTTCTCGGCATGCCTTCTGCAGCAGAACCTGGGGTGGGGAGGGCACTCTCCTTCCTCTTCATAGAGAGGGTGACATCAGTGTCCCCAGAATACTTCTGTCTGTGGAGTCAGCCGCATACCCCAGGACTGGGCCTATCCTAGGGTGATAGTCTGGCTGACGCACAGTTCCGGGCAAGTCTGTAAAGAACGTATTCAGATGCTTCCTCAAGAATAACCCCAAGAATAACCCCAAGACAGGAGAAATATGCCTTGTTGGCTCCGAGGGGATTAAAATCAGATTCTCGGCAAGTTGTGCTGAGAAAGGAGAGTAGCCGCTGAGCTCCCATCTTAGTTCAGGCCATGATGACAGCACCATGGACTGCGTGGCTAAACAACAAACATTCTCACAGTTCTAGAGGCTGGGGAGTCCAAGGTCAATGTGCCCACAGATCTGGTGTCTGGGGAGGGCTCTCTTCCTGGTTTGCAGATGGCCATCTCCTCACTGCATCCTCATGCAGTGCAGAGAGAGAGGGAAACAAGCTCTTGTCTCTTCCCAAACGGACACACTCATCCCACCATGAGGACTCTGTCCTCATGACCTACTTACCTCCCAGAGACCCCGTCTCCAAGTGCCATCACAGTGAGAAGCTAGGGTCTCAACATATGTGTTTTGGGGGGACGCAAACATTCAGTCCATAGCAGCTCCCCAGTGGTCAAAGCAAACACTCAGAGCTAACATCAAAGAGTGGGTACCCCCTGGGGCTGATGTGCCTTCAGGGGGGCACTAGGCCAGACTCCGCTCTGCACATATCCTCCATCCTTCTCTCCTCCTCGCTGCCTTTGACTCTCTTAACTTCAGATTGACAGATGTGACCCATCTGAGGAGCAGGACAGGATGATGATTAAAAACATGAATCCCAATTTCCAACAGATTTAAATAAAACTTAAATTCATAGGTATAAACACATTACCTATACAATTCTAAGAGAGCAATCTCTAACTAACATGATCTTTCTGATAGAATGAAACATTTTGCACATAATCTTTGACTATGGATTCTTTAAAAAAATTTTAAATTTATTTTTATTGAGATATAATTGACATATAACATTGTATAAGTTTAAGGTACACCACAGTTGATACATTTATAGATTGTAACAGGATAACCATTGTAGTGTTCGCTAACACCTCTATCAAGTCACATAATTATCATTTCTTTTTTGTGGTGGGAACAATTAAGATCTAGTCTCTTAGCACCTTTAAAGTTTATAAGACAGTATTATTGTCTATAATCACTATGCTGTGCATTAGATCTCCAGGGCTTTTTTTTTTTTTTTTTTTAATCTGTTAGTTACAATGAAGCAATGAAGCCAAATAGATGTTAAGGCTACGAATCAGGGCCTTCTGCCTCCCCCCTCTAAGTTTCTCGTGAACTAAAATTTGTTGGCCTCCCATCTACTTTAGATGACATGGTGGTTAAGAGCATGACTCAAGTGTCTGGGGTGGGTTTGACCTTTGCCGACCACTTAACCTCTCTGATCCTCAGCCTCCTTATCCCTTAAGTGGGATAATCTTAGTGCTCATTTCATGATGTTTTGATGTTTAAATGCGGCAATTCATGTAAATCGATGCAAAAATGCTTAATAGGATAACTGGAATATTGTAAACACTCTACACATAACTACTATTAATAGTTAATAATGTATTAAAAAATTAGACACTATTAATAGCATGTTCTTATACACTGAGTGTCAACGACAACCATGTAACAAGCATTTCAGGAATTTCCCTTCTGTTTTTATAATATGATAGTGGTAAACTTTTAATTTCTTTTTTTTAATTTTATTTTTTAATTTTTAAAAAAATTCTTTTCCACACAAGCGTTTGATAAATCCAGATGTTTGAATTTACTTTAGTGATCACTCACTTAAATAGAAGCTCAAAGGTAGAGGAAAGTAGTCCTATTTTAATTTTAGATCACATCACTTTTTGAAATACAGAACAGAATCTAAGATTGTGTCATTTTCATAGTTAACTGGGTCAGTATCTAAAACTTGCAAAGTGTTCACAAGCATATGTGTGTGTGTGTTTATTTTATGACACAGGTCATCGAGAATTCCTCTTCTCAAAGGGATACTGTCATCGGTGCCTTATACAGCAGTTTAAATAAAGTCATTCTTTACTGCCTGTCCAAGCCCCAGCAATCCCTCTCCGAGTGCCTCAGTCTTCTCAGCATCTTGGGCTTCCTACAGGAACACTGGGACATTATCTTTGCTACCTATAACTCCAACGTCAGCTTCCTCCTGTGTCTCATGCATTGCTTTTTGCTGCTCAGTGAGAGAAGGTAAGAGCTGCCTACTTGTTGTTTCCTTGCCTTCTAGTGGTCCATGCAGAAAAGCAAGCTTTAGAGGGACACTATATATATATATATATATATATGTATATATATTGTATATAAAATATATATATATATATTTTGTTTATCTGGTTGTCCAAATTATGTGCAGTGTTTGACAATATAGTAGATTGTCCTCAGATCTGTCCATGTAACTGAGCCGCTAGAATCATCATGGAATAATAATTTACCCCATTTGCACAATTCTCAGGTTGTAAGATAGCTTATTGATTTCATTTTAGGGGCAGAAAACTCCAACACTGAACATATACATTGATTTTATGATGCAGCCCAATTTCAGAAATATTAAAATTTGATAAATGCAATCTTAGACTGGGAAAATATGTAATAAATTGTATCATGCAAGCCAGGCATAATTTTCTATATGCACACAATTTATAATATAAAATGATATCCATAAGCACACTTGTATAAGAAATACTAATAAAAAGAAACTGAATTAAGTTTTTTTTTTTAAAAGATTTTATTAATTTGTTAGAGAGAGAGAGCATGGCGGTGGGGGAGGAGCAGAGGGAGAGAGACAAGCAGACTCTGCACTGAGGATGGAGGCCTACACAGGGCTTGATCCTACAACCCTGAGATCATGACCTGAACTGAAACCAAGAGTCAGACGCTCAACCGACTAAGCCACCCAGGCACCCCCTGAATTAAGTTTATTTAAATTCTTTTCTTAAAGCCCAAATTTTGAAAATATGTTAGATTTCTCTGTATATATGCACTTTCTTTTTTTCTCTGTGAATATTCTATATCACTGGTGCCTTGGCATCATACTCCTTACAAATGTTCTCTCTTATCCATAGAGCCATGTTGAGCATAGAAGAAAGGAAGGCTGTGTGATATTATACTTTGCTCTTGTCTTGTTGTTGCTACTGTTGTTGTTTAACCCCAGTATAAATTATGTTTTATTACTTGAAAAAAATTCCAAAAATCCTGTCAAACTGACTATTGAATGTTACAAAACTCAACTTGATTTGTCTTAAAACTCTCTGGGAATCACTGGAAAACACTTCTAGCCCAGAGGAGGCCCTTGTCATTTTATTTGTTTGAAATAAAAGAATCCCTTTTTCGTGGGTTAAATTGGGAGGTTCTGCTCTCTTGCCTGTGTTTTAAGAAGTAAGCCTACCCATATTGGAAGCATAGGCAAGAGCAGAGGAATGCCAATTTATGTATATGCTTGGATTTCCACCTTCCTCAGATCCCTCTGTTTAGCTAAATGGCCTCCAAATCCAAAAGGACTTTATCCTTGAAATTTCAAGAATGACTAACATAATAAAACAAAATTAAAAAAAAGAATGGACATTCTCATATGATGGTATATTTTCATTCCCTTGTTTGTCATTTTTGGTTCAATCCACAAACACGTACTGAGTGTCTGTTCTGCTTGGTTGACTGAAGGGGCCCAGAGAAGAAGGCACGTGGATGTTAACATGATTAGGAGCCCTAGAGCACATGGTTCATGGAGAATACAGTATGTAAACCACTATGCCTCCACTTAGAACCAGCTACATGATGTGCAGGAAAAATGGAGATGTGGGGCCTTGTTCAAAAATTATTAAGATTTCAAGACAGTGACAGCAGAACCCAAGCATGGAACATTTCTGAGTGAACCCTGTGCAACTGCAGAGGTCACGGGCCCATGAAGCTGGCCTGGCCCCTTCCAGGTGGGATGAGATCAGTGCCAAACAAAGGCAGAGTTCAAAATTTGGGGAATCTACAAAAACAAATGACCGGTTCTGATGGTTGGGTAACCAAGAGAAGGTTCAGGGGACCTGCTGGGAGTATGGATTAGATTTAATAAGAATGGAATTTAAAAAAAGGAGTTTTTCCTATTTTTCCTATTGTTACTGTATAATATCTGTCACGGAAATTGTCATGAGGTGTTTGCTTTAACTCAAATAGACAAGTTTTTCCAGCTGATATGTACTAAGTTTGGAGGATGATTATCTGTAATAAAGAACAATGGAAAGATCCCAAAGAAACTGGAGTTCATAGTGAAAAATCTCTTGTCTCCTAGTTATCCAGAAGGATTTGGATTGGAACCCAAGCCTAGAATGACTCCTTATCATCAAGTCTTTCTTTCTCCAAATGAAGAAGGGAGAGAAAAAGGAGAGGAAGACTTCCCAAGTTTGAGTGATGGTACATTATATTTTTGTTTATTTTTGGGAGAGTGGATAGGCAGTGGTAATTTCTGGGTTGCATTCTTCAACTGTGTGGGACTTGGTCAGACTAGGAGCTTGGCGGACTTACTCTAAAATTCCAGAGGACTTCACCATAAGGTGATTTCACTTCTCAGGCGGTCTCTTGAATTTTCCTTCAAATCATTAGGGGAACTGCAATGTCATCTCACCTCATTCAAGCTGTTACCTAGCTCTCTCTCAACTTTCTTTAGAAAATGGGAATGGAGTTAATAAATTCCTTATTTCTATGAGATTTTTGGCTTGATGGAGTTTATTTTTGGATTTGCTAACATCAAATCAAATTAAAGGGATTGGCAATTAAAAAAAAAATAGCAGCCAGATCCACGTGTTTAGAAATTGCTCTCTTTTGATCACAGGAAGCTTCAACAGACTTTCTTCCACCACTTTGGTTTGCCAACTGTGCCACTTATCTTGTGATACAGATAGTAGGCACAAGGGCCTCTGTCTTCTGGTCATGTAGGTGCCCAAAGCCAGTGCTTAAAACTCTTGTGAGTTTAAAGTGTACTCTGACACAGTGTAATAAATTACAACATGAACATTCATATTTTGGGTTTGGCTAGTAAAGTGGACGGAACAATGTCCATCCTCCTAGAGTGAGAAAAATGGACTATAGGGGCTGGTACTAGAGGAGTGACTCGGTGGTCCAAGATCCAAGGGCATTTAGGTATTTAGGGTACTATAATTACAGGGCATAGCAGGTAAAACTGGCCTGATAGGTTGGTCCATATCTGGGCAAATCCAGGGCACTGAGATTGTTGGGTCGTGGGAAGCATGATTCAGTGTCAGGAAAGAGGACTGCCTTGGGTCCTGGGTCCCTAAGCATAGTTTTGGGATTGGTGTCCTTTCTTTTGAGGAACCAACATAAAAGGTAGGTTAGAAGGAGCTATTGGAGGTGGTATTTAGTTACCTAGAGCTTACACAGGTATTTTTTCTGTTTGGTATCTAATGAATTTGGGGGGTAGGAGAAAGAGACCCCTTGTGTCCATCAATAATGTTTCCCAGCTCTGAACATCTGAGGCAGTCAGTACTTGGTGGTGGGCAGTTAGGGTTCGGGGAAAGTCCAGCTCACATGGAAGTTGGTAGCATTGTCTACATATTGACTGTTTTCTGGCTGGAGCTTGCAAAGCTTGAGTGATGTTCAAGAAAGATTCAATAAAAGCAGCCATGATACACCATCTCCTGGCCCTTGCTGGGAGAGGCACCAAGGCCATCCTGACTGTGTGATGTGCTCTCTCTGTTAGTCCAGCACAACATCCAAAAGATGGTACGGACCCTCTGGCAGCAGCTCATGGCACAGAGGCGGCAGGAGCTGGAGGACACCTTCAAGATTGATCTCTCTGTGAAACCTGGAGAGAGTGAAGTGAAGATTGAAGAGATTACCCCACTCTGGGAGGAGACAATGCTCAAGGCCTGGCAGCATTACTTAGGTCTCTGTCCACTTGGCTCCAGGGAACAGAACTGCTGGGTCTCATAGATGCAGACTTTCCCAAAGTTTCACTCAAGGCCCAGAGCCTTTTCCAACCAGATTTTCTCTCTCATCCCTTTGGTGGGTGGGATTTACGTCACTGAAACCTTGTGAATCTTTGCACACAAAGAATGAATGCTTGGGTGAAAGGAAAGCCAGAGATGCAAGCAGATTCTAGTAATCTCTTAGAGAGAGTGGATTCCATGTCAGAGCTCTAGTTCTAGCCTAGAGTTTAGGGTTCTAGGTCCTGCCCTGATATTCACGTACCAGCTTTGAAACCTTGCACCAAGTCATGCAATGACCTGGAGCCCAGGTTCTTCATGTTCCAAGTGAAAGTTTTCATCCCTAAGATAGTAATGATCCTTGAATTCTTTTAGTGACTCAACATTGCCCCCTTCATATTAGTTAATGCAGCCATAGGAATATTGTTTTAATTTTTTAATTTTTTTAAGATTCTATTTTTAAGGAATCTCTACACCCAACATGGGCTTGAACTTACAACCCCGAGATCAAGAGTCGTACACTCTACCGACTGAGCCAGCCAGTCCACCCACCCGGAATTTTGTTTTGTTTTTGTATTTTTTTTTAATTTTATTATGTTATGTTAGTCACCATACAGTACATCATTGTTTTTTGATGTGGTGATCCATGATCCATTGTTTTCATATAACACCCAGTGCTCCATGCAGTACGTGCCCTCCTTAATACCCATCACCAGGCTAACCAATCCCTCCTCCCCCCTCCCCTCTAAAACCCTGTTTGTTTCTCAGAGTCCGGAATTTTGTTTTTGAAGTGGTCATTGCTCCTAAACTATGGCTCATGTGCTTGTTTTAAGTCTTCCAGTATCACAAAATTCACAGTGATTCAAGAGTTAGTTATTTCCATGTGTATCATCCCACGTTGTCTGACAATACAGAACTTTTATTTCATTGGCTTTCCAAACTAGCCCTGGAAAATATGTATGTTTGTACATGTCTATGTGTAGGCATGTGTAATTTGAAGTCAAAATGTCAGATTCCATTTCAGGGAAAAGTTTAATAAGATGGGACATCTATCTCCATACACATATAGTGAATAAAGTGGTGAGGTGGACCTCAGCGCTTACAAATGGCTCTCTTTTTGGCCAATAATAACATATTGAAAATTCTCTATATTTGATGACCTATGTTTTAAACACATAATCTTATTTACTCTTCATAACACCAGAATGAGGTTAGATGCTATTATCCCCAATTTAGCTAATTTGTCCAGCGTCTCACTTTGAGTCAGTAGAGCTAGGAGTCTAAGCTGGGTCTGGTGACCCCAAAACCCACCCTGTATGTCTTAGTCAGAAAACAGCAGTGTATGCTTGTAGCCTGGGCTGTTTTCCTTATTGGGGTGGCTCACTGGGCTCTTTGAAAGCCAAGCCAGTTGTAGAAATCGTGTGTGCTCTCCTCTCAACTTCACCTCTGACAGTTTTTACTTCCCTGTTCCTAGCATCCGAGAAGAAGTCGCTGACCAGTCGCTCGACTGTGGGACACCACAGCAAAGTGTCTTCATGGAGTGGCAGCTTGTCTTCAGCCATGAGGCTGATGCCCGGGCGGCAGGCCAAGGACCCTGAGTGCAAGACAGAGGTGAGCTCAGACCCCTTTCCTTAGAGAAGCATCAGGCATTTGTTCCAAACCCCACAAGTCATGTCTTCTCTCTCTGTTGTTTCTGGACATGATCCAATTCCATATTCTTCTGAGCATGGAAGGTTAGGCATGTGACTTCCCAGTTGAGACTGTATCTAGGGGAGCCAGGTTTTAGGCTAGCTTTAACTTGAAGTGAATATGGGCTCCCCTTGAACTCCAAGAGCAGGTGTTCCTTATGGCATTAAAACCCAAACCAGTCCTTGTTCCCACTCTCCTTTTGAGTCAGGTATGCTCAGAGAGCCCTAGCTAGCAGCTCAGCAGGAGATGTATGTGTGGGCTCAGCAAAGAGGGACAGAAACATTGGCACCATTACCAGGAGATGTAGTGGTGGATCCTCTTAACTATGTGGGGCTGATTTTTTTTTTTTTTAAATTCATTTCTTTAAAGCTGCATAGGAAACCATCCTAAAATTCAGTGGCACCAACAATGAGTTTTTCTGATCATGGATGCTGTCATAAGAAATTTGGAATACAACAGGGGTAGGGAGGTGCCTCTACTCCATGAGGTCTGGAGCCTTGGCTGGAACCATTGGAAGGCTCATTTACTCACACATCTGGTGGTTCCTGCTGATTTTAGTCTGAGACCTCAGCTGAGACTGTTAGCTGGAACACATGTACCTAGCTTCTCCATGTGTCCTGGCTTTCTGACAACCTGGTGGCTGGATTTCAAGGGCTAATTTCCAAAGAAGGGGGAAGGAGAGAGAAAGAGTGACAGACAGAGAGATACAGAGAGAGAGCGTCAGGCGGAAGCCACATTGCCTTCCATGAGCTAACTTCACCTCTGCTGCATTTCTTTGGTCAAGACAGGCACAGAGTTCTGCCTAAGTTCAAGGGGAGGGAAATAGACTCTATCTTCTGGTAGGGAAGTGGTAAGGTTCTGCAAGAGCATGTAGAACTAGAAATACTGCTGAGGCTCTTTTTGGAGAACACAATCCGTCATATTCTAATGCTGAGGTCACTGACTTATTTTCAGAGGCAGTCTATGGTCATTGAATGGACATGACCTTAGGGTCAGAAGACCCTGGGCTATTAACTTCCCTGAGTCTTTATCTCCTTATCTACACAGTGGGATAGGAAACTCTGGGGAATTGTGGGAAGGGGCTCCCCAGGGAGGTGGGATAGATGGTTGATAGACACATGACACAACTGGAGCTCTCGGCCCATGTAACTTTGGAAAATGAGGTTGACTCCAAATCCCACCTGCTCTGAATGTGGGCTCTGCTGTTCCCATGACTCTGTTGTCCATTGTGGCCAGTGACTGATGGGAGGGCACTATCATCAGATACTGGGGAGGAGGGGAGTGAGGGCTGCCTGGGCAGGGGAAGGAGATTTTCCTCTTTCCAAGCTTCAGAAAGAAGAGGATTTAGGACATCTGGGGAAAGAGACCAAACATAGAAGGGAAGACAGAAAATGAACTTGACAGGGCTGTGTGGCCACTTGGTGTTCAGTACTGAGGGTAGGCTGTGTCCTCAGCATGTTGGCTTATGGAAAACTCTGCTCAGTAAGCTTGTTGACTGGCTGACCGAGTGAGTGAACAACTCACTTAGATTCGTAGAAGGTGTATCACACAGTTATTATCAGCCCCATTATATAGATGTGGAAACTGAATCTTAAAAAAAAAAACAACAACAGTCAAGGGCTTTGCAGCCAGGAAATGGCAGTGTGAAGAAAGGATCTCCTGTCTCCGTACTGCCCAACATGACCTTGGGCACTTCTGTGACCTCTCAGAGCCTCAATTCCTGATCTTACAACTGGGACTGTGTTCTGTTTACACTAGAACCTGTGGAAGTCCTTGGAAACTGCAAGGGCTTTAGAAATGGAAGGCAGTTTCTGAAATTCCGTCTTACCTTATCAGTCCCTGCCAAAGGGAGGACCATCTCACAGGTGGTATGGCTGTGCCAAGCCCCAGAAGCTGGAGCATCCCCACCTGTGCCCAAGCACTTGCTCCTGACTAGTGGGGGTCCAGCCCCTCTTCCTCTGGCTTCACCCTGGAGTTTCCGTTCCTTGAGCAAGTCATCTCTGTCCCCAAGAGGTCAGTTCAGTCTGGCTGTGGAAACTAGGGAAGCGACAGCAGGGATGCTGGACATGGGCATGCTGGACATGGGAACCTTTGTAGGCTATGGATGTGCCTCTTGCCAGTCCCCCACCCCCTCCGAGGTCACTGTCATTGGCATGGCTCAGTTGCCTCTGAGTGCTGGGGAGACTGGTTGAGAAATGGTTCATCTGAAAGAAGCTGGAATAGATTGCAGTGTTTGAGGCCCTGTAGGTCTACAAATGGCTTGTAATAGTTTGCTGTGGGCTCACACGGAGAGATCTGGAGGCAAGAATATTTTAAATTGGCTGTCTTTGGTGAAGGCAGGCTCTGAAGATACTGTCTTCCACATCAGCTGAGGTCTCCATTCATTCATTCATTCATTCATTCAACAAATATTTATTAAGTATTACTTTATATCCTGCTAAGCACTGAGGCTGCAGAGGAAAGAAAATCTGACATATTCTTTGCTTTCATGGAGCCTGCATTTTAGGAGGTAAAGATAGACAATAAACAGATAAATAATTTGTAAATATGGAGGGTGTTAATTGCAATGAGGAAAAATGGAGCAGGGTAAGTGGGAGAGGGTGGCTGTTTACCTGAAGGTGGTCAGAAGCCCTCTCTGGAAAGGGGCGTGGGAGCAGAGAAATAAGGAAGAGACTCTCTGGAAAGAGTGGTCAGGCAAAGAGGGGACCATCAGACAAAGGTGCTGAGACCAGCATGTGCTGGGGTGTTCTAAGGCAGCAAAGGACAGTGTGGCCGGACTGAAGTGGGGAGAGGGCAGCCCTGGGGGACATCTCCCTTAGCTGTCACCATCAGGAAGACCTGTGCCTTTCCAAAGCAACTCATGAACACCAGGACTTCTGTCACACTTAGATTTCTTGGCACAGTCATCCGGGCACTCAGAAGCTCAGAGAGATAACCATGGCCCAGCTCTTGTAACTGCACACACCCAGAGCCATAAATTTCTGCAAAACACATGCACACGTGCACACACGTACATGCACACACCCCTCTCCCTGCTTCTGCCTTCCTGTTTGAACCTCATCCATCTTCGATCTGATTTAGTCATCCTTCCTTCAGCTTATATTATCTTGTGGACTTTTAAAAGACAAATTCGTTTTGAAACAAAGTAGACTGTTTTAATTTTAAAAATGAACTGTCTTTGCTTTGGAGCATCCTATACCAGTAACTTGCTCTGGGCTGGGCACCGTGCCTGGTACATAGGAGCCTCTTAAAGTCTGTGCGCGGCACTCTATGGAGCGAGGGAATAAAATGCGTTCCCTCTTTTTACTGAGATGAAACTCAGCAGCCTTCACATCCTGCATCCATCACTCATCCTCGTGAGATGCCTTTGTTGCTAACAGAAGGCACAACTTCTCAGGTACATATGTAGACTGTGATGTCATAGGAGAAGAGCATCAACTATTTGCCCTGGGGTCTGTTTAATTATTTTTAAAAATTAATTTTGATTATTACAGCTGATTACACCTCAGTGAGCAATGTAATTGATATTTTCTAATGTATCCCAAGGAACATTTTGTACAACATGCTTTTTGTTGTTGAAGGTTAAAGACTCCGTTATTGGTTTTTGCCTAAATATGCCCACATCATTAGTCCCTCCAGTGAGAAGGTCGCCATCTGGAAAAAGCAGCATGGAGACATTATTCAGGCACAAGTGCATGAAATTGGTGTTTCTGCATCTTCTGTCTGTCTTCTGGAAAGAAAAGGCTTGTAATTAAAGGAGTTGGTTTTGGAGGAAACATTATTCATTTGGTGTTATTCCTTATCATGTCAGCGGCTGACAGCTCTGTAGCACTGATAAATTGTTCCTTGGAGTGAGACATAGAAACATAGAAGATGTTTTCCTCTTGGCAGGTTAGCTGAACTTTGGGGCAAGGCTGGTATGATGGATGTTATTTTTTCCTTTTCTTCTCCTGACCCCATCACAGTTCCCTCTGGGATCAGCTGGCGGAGTCATGGCCTCTCCTGGGGTGAATGAAGGCTGTGGGGTCAGCCTGTCAGACAGAGCTTGGGACCTTGGGCTCCCTTAAGGGCACCAGATGCCAGCGATGCTGTCCTGGAACCTGCTTCCTGATGTCCACCTTCAGCTTAGAGCAACCCATAGTGTGTGCCCCAGCCAGCCATTCCTCTTCCCAGTACTGTGTGCAACTTGCCGACTCAGTTTTAGACTTTCTTGTTTAACAGTAAGTTGAAAAAAACATCAACAACTCATGCTGGTTTCTTAGCTCTGACAGACACACCATGGCAGTGTATGTTGTTAACATTATGGGGAAGCAGGTGAGGGGTTGATGGAACCCTCTGGACTATCTTTGTAACTTTTCTGTAAATGAAGAATTATTCCAAAATATGTAGTAGGCAATCTTCCTTTTTTTCTTTTTCTTTTTTAGAGAAAGAGCATTAGCAAATGGCAAATAGGCAGACAGGACACGAAAGGCTGGGTGGGAAGGGGCCGTGAGGATGAGGGCATGTGAGTCCCGTGAGCAGGGGGATGATGGAGGTCACTGCAGGATGCAGGGAGGACGCCATGGCTCATGCTAGATGTGCCCGAAATGAGGGCTTAAGTAGTGGGGGAGCGGTACGTTTCTGTTTGTAGGGGTAGGATTGGAGGTTAGAGCCCCCCAGAGAGGGGCCAGGCTGGTGGCTGTGGCATCATTTAGATGGGAGATAATGGAGGCTGCAGGGGCAGGGGTTGGAGCAGTGGAAATCAAAGAACACACAAGAAAATTCTGTTGAACCAAGGCTGGGATGAGCAAAAGAAGAGGGCTGCCACGGACAGAGGCCCTGGACTCTTTGTAATCAGGCAGTGAGGAGAAAGGCCACTGGGGTGTGGCAGGTGTGGGAGGTGTGTGATTCTCATGGTTCTGTTGGATCTGCAGAGCATGGGA